TTAAAAAAATTTGGCGGCATTGTACAACTGGTTCATACTGGTATGGGATTCCCCTGATTCCTAAAAGCACTGCCCTAGTTGTGCCCTTCTGATTAGCTTCAGAAATTTTAAGCTTCACGTGTTGTCTGTCTGAGACCAATGAGTGTATTAAACTATGAAAAACTTATAATCTCCACAAGTTCAATTACACTAGTATCAATTACTCTAGAAGATGTTATTCTCTCTATTAAGTGTTTTTGAAAAAAAAACATTTATGTGTATTGTTCAATTATCAATATTACAAACTTGAAATTAGATCTTGCTATCCCAGTACTTTTTCTCCACACTACCAACTGGGCAGATCAAACGACTATGTGTTCAATGTGACTAGAGTAAATCATAAGAATTTATTTCATGAACGAATTAAAATTTCTCAATGAAACAGTTATTGTTTCATGTAAGATACACTCAGTTAAACTTGATAATTGTTCACTATGAATGATTCCGATTGGGATATCATTTAAAAAACTAAAATGAATACGAACGCTCATCTGCCCTACTAATGGGACACTCCCTCAGTTTACATCAACAACCTCATCAGACAGAAATTGAGCTAAGAATCGTGAATTCTCAATTATTAAGGGCAATAAATTGTTGACCAGCCACAACTGATTTACAATCTAAAGACGGGTAAAGTCATCAAATTAGCAATGAATTATAATGTGAATAAACAGTATGATAATTAAAAATGTTTTTATCACAATAATTAAAACGTATCAAGAGGATTAAATGTAATCTAGTGATATCGGAAACAATATTCAATAAATTTATGGTGATTTGAGAAAAGAATCAAGAAGGAAAATTATTATTTTTTTTCAAAGCAATAATAACAGTTCACTCTAGATATTGCTTAATGTCTACCGGTTGCAATGTTTCACCAAGAACATCACAATTATCTTGAAGTTAACTTTCATAGTTCAATTGAAGAGGTTTTTTGCAGAGGCTAGTTCAATGGTCGCTAGTTTTTTTTGTTAACTATTTCTCAACTGTAATTCATCAACTGTAATAATTTCATTAAAACTCTATCAACCAATTGTTAATTATTCAGTAATTCAATAAATGATAGACAGTGTTTTTATTCACTAAAGATTTATATTCCCTTGGGTGATGTTTTGGTTTCTTTTTTTTTTATGTCGATAAATAAGACTAAAAACATTCTTCAGTATTATTAAATTCATTAAGTAATAATTAGTCCGTTTTTATCAATTCTGACAGATCAACGTTGTCTATGAAAATTTATATTTAATTTTTTTTTTTTTTGATTTTAGTTCAATTAATAACAACAAAACAAAGGTACATTGATAAATAACTCTCAATTATTTGGTAATTAATGTTTTGACTGAAATTCGGTCAATCTTGGTTGGTTGATGGATGTAGCATCTCGCCTGTTGGAAGCGAGCTGTTGGAGCTTGTAATCAGTCATCCATTGAAGTACAATAAATGAATATTGAGATGCTACATGGGGATATCTTGTGCGGACTTCCTCGATAATAACCATAGTGGTACAGGTTTATATAGAACAGATAAATAAAATAATGATATTTGAAGCAAACGACATTAGGTCCAAGCCCCAGGGTGAACATCAGCGCTAACAGGTTCAAAATAGGCAGAAACAGGCGCTCTGGATATCACAGCTAGTCACATTCTATTCATTCTAAATCTACATTAACCTTTTTTCAATTCTAGATAGATCTAGCGTATATTACATTGATAAAGGTAATCTACACTTATATCAGTACTTATGATTACAGTCAATATGATTATTCATAATGCGAACAAAATAAATAATTAGTGACATCATAAAATATTATCAGTAAGTTGATACAGTTTATTGATCATAATTAAGATGTTGATAATACTTATTAATATTCTATTTATCTTAAATAAGTGTATAGTTTATCTTATCAGTTAAGGAGAACAGAGAAAATATAGTAGACAAGATAACCGACTGATTAGTAGTAATCTATAAGAATAAACAGAGAGAGAACATAGTTATGTGAAGATCAGTGACAATGTTAAATCATAATTATTATCATTGTATTACACTTAATTGGGACTAAATCTATCTACATACACACTCATAGAAAATGATGTGATAAACACTTAGACATGCCTTAGAAATATTTTATGCGCACACTAATACACAAAAGCATATACAACTTTTCATAATGAAAGTTGTCTGTCTTTGAAATGGAATGTGAACAATAGGTGATGGGGGGGGCGGGAGGTGGGCCAAGATGATCATGGTGGTGACAGTTATTTTGAGCGTTTGGCGGTGAATGATTAGTGATCAATGTTTCATTACTAGTTAAAGAATAAGGTCAAAGTTTGTATTTTGTACACAATGCAATTATGTTCTGCTTGTCCTAATAATAATAATAATAATAATAATAATAATAATAATAATAATAATAATAACAGCGGTGTAAATAACAGATGTTTTAGTGCATATTTCTATTTGATAATCCTTTGAAATTAATTTTCATGCTTTTTGAAGAACAAGAACAAACACACATATCGATGATTCAACAACAACAACAACAACAACAAAAAACAACCAAACATTATTCACACACAGTAGTCATTTTCTATCAATTGACTTGTGTTTTTTTTTTAAAAAAAAAAACACACATTCAAGTATGGGGTACCAGTTTTGAACACTTAAGGGTTCATAGTATACAGATAAAGAGAAACAGAAAGAGAAAGAGGATAGAGAAAGAGAGAGGGGGAGAGAGATTTTAATCAGCAATGAAAAGATTATGATTTCATTCGAACAGGGGTCAATGGTCTGCGTATAGTATATATATATATATATATGTATAACAATATGTTAAATTGTTCCTTTATCAAACGTTTAATCTATCGTTAAAATAATCATGGTATTAAATAATAACAATAACAATAATAATAATAATAGTTAATTTTCAACACTGAACTTAATAATAATGATAATCTATGAAGCAAGTTAGAATAAAAAAAATTTTGAGTGTTAATTGTTTGTTAATTTCTGTTTCTGTGTATTAATTTCAAACAAATATATTGTTTATTTTTCACTAAGTTAACTTTCCATTCCATTTAAAAACTGTTTTTCATTGCTAACATCGTCATCATCATCAACATACTAGTGGATATGCAAAACATGTTAAACAGTGAAAACACATTGATTAACCTTTTCATTATCATCAGTTCATATTTATCAACAGAATGGAGAATTGAGAGAAAAGAAGGGAGAGAAGTGAACAGACAGATTATTAACTCAGTTACAATTCTTAATCATATTAATGACAAAATTATAATAATAATAATTATTATTATTATTATTGTGATTGTTATTAACAGGGCTTGATTCAAATTGAAAACAGAGGAAATCATGTTTTATTGACATTGATTAAGACATTGATTTAAACAATAAGCGTTTGATGTCAAATTGAACTCAATTTATGTTGAATCATTGTGGCTTGCGAGTGAATTTCAGTGATAATGTTTAAATGAAAGCAGATGAAAGATTAAAAAAAAAAACTGACTGAAATTCCATATACTGATTAGTTTTGTAAACAAGTAATCTTACTGGATTCGAAGCGTTAGTAACTGTAATTTACAAGGCCAATTCCCTATCGTCGAGACTATATCCACATATGTGGGGAGAGGGTTCGATAATAAGTATATCATATAATATAATGCTATTTATCTTTTGTGATGATAATCATGAGAGGTGCACGAGAGCACATTGAGCAAAGAGAAGTTGATTTTGACGAGGGCCTAACAGATGCTCATTAATCAAAATGTTGTGTTTAGATGCTGATATCGGCTCCTTTTTATCATCTGATATTGCAAATTAAACAAAAGTGAAACTGGTCATCAGTTAATTATCAGTCATTGAAGAATTCTTACAGTCATTGATCATTTAGCTCAGTGATGATATCTTCGAATGTTTCTGTTTTCAATTTCGCAGAAATTAACCAGTTTCTCCAAGTTTCCAGATCCGACTTACTACATTCAGTTACCCAATGTAAGTCCCAGGATATAAGTGCATCGGTTCAATTTACCATACTGAATATACAATGAAAATATTATCAAGATCAGTAAAAAATACATCGAAATAGTGTGGTAACAACGGTAACGAAACGGTGGAGAAAATTTTTAGCTCAGGTGGATGATTGTGGTGGTATTTCCAAAATATCCAGCTCAGAGAACGAAACACCACCACAATTGTTACGAAACACTAAGCGTTTGTAATGTGGTTGGAAAGGATGCAATGAAAATGTTTGCAAAGGAATACTAAGAATCATGTTTCGCAGAAAAATAAAGAGGTATACAATTATATTGCTGTGGTCAATTATGGGCCATATTGCACAACATTTCATATTTTTCTTACATTTGCTTACATCGCCTATCAACCCTAATCACAGGTAACACCTTTTCTAACAATATCAGTCAGTAAAGATGCACAACCGCATCAACTCATTTGACACTATGGCCTAGTAGCCTATTCTTCGAAACTGCCCACTAGATCATTTTCTGAAATGTGAACAATGTTTTAAGAACCTTGGTGACTAAAAACCCATAGATTGCTGATGTCTTCTACTTTTAACAACCATGTTTCATAGTCATTGGAATGATACAGACAGGATTAGTTGGAATTGTCCGAACTTCACATCTCGAAACTCCTACCGATCATGTTTAATCACCTAATATAGAAAGTTGTCCATTGATAGAAAAAAAATATAGACTTAATTCGATAACCTATTAGAACCAGAATAATTTTAATTGAACAAAAAAATTGTTTTTTCACAGTTTGAAATTCCAAGGTTAATTCTGGTGATATAAATCCAAAATCAATATTAAAATTTCAGTTGAAATTAACTTGAGAACTCCGGGTTGAAAATCAATTTATTGCATATTGTAGATTTAATTCATTTTGATTATGCATTAGAAAAAGAAACAAAAATGTGCACACTTACTCTTGGTTATTGACTATTGAATCAGATAGATTTTGATAGGTTTTCGCTTTGTGAATCTGAAATACAAGAGAGAAGAATTGAGAAAAAAAATTCTGTATCATGGAAAACTATGTCCAAATCTCAAAGTACTTTCACACAAAACTGACTTAAACTACTAGTGAAAACGAATAGACAGGAACTTTTCGGTATTATTTAATTATGACCAATGAAGTCCAACTCTGTCAGGTGTAAGCAGAAACTACCGAAGTCAAATGGGTGAGGCCGCGCAAAATCTCTAGATCAATCAGAGTTAGACATTAACACCGTTGGATGCCGGCCCAGTGGTCCGATGGTTAGGCGTCCGCTCACAATACCGAAGGTCCCGGGTTCTAATCCTCTGAGGTGCAGGAGTCGTGGATGTGCACTGCCACTGATGAGTCCCACACCAGGACGCATCGGCCGTCCAGTGCTTCCAGGTTTCTAATGGTGGTCTAACAATGATTGATTGATTGTTGATTTCAAATGTGTAAAAAAACACAAATCTCCAAAACTCTAACTGAAAATTATGAGCTTGTTAAGAATTGAATTGTAGGTTTTTAATTTTGAATGTGAGTGGATTGTGTTCTGCATCACTGACAGGTTCACATCAACAGCTTCAGTTGGTTCGCATTAATTCGGTAATAGTTCGTGTTCATGTTGGTGTATGAAATGTTTCCAGTATGAAGAAAATCAAATTACACTATTTTCCTTGAAATAAAATTACGATCATTTCATTAAACAAAGGAAAATAAATTTAAGGCGATTAGTCCATTTTGATAAATTAAGATGGTTGAATGAGATTTACTGAAGACTATCAGAACTGTATGTGATGTATAACTGTAACACATTTCGAACAATCTGATCACATATACACTTGTTTAAATAATTATTGATTTTCAAAAATGAGTTTCAGAAATGTGTAACTTAACAATCTGTACAACCCCGTAATGCAAATTTCCTGTGCTCACTAGTTACTAGCTTTGTGAGGAATCTTTCCCGAGTTCTAGTGGGAAGACGTGACCAGTGAAGTTCAACCTGTTCGGGTGTATACAGTAACTACCGAAGACTGTGTATGAGGTTGCGCAACTCCGTGAATTGATCAAGTTAGACATGAACAACGTTAGATACCGGCTCAGTGGTCCGATGGTTAGGCGTTCGCCTACAATACCGAAGGTCCTCGGTTCGAATCCTGCGGGGTTCAGGAGTCGTGGATGCGCACTGCTGAGGAATCCCATGCCTGGACGAAACGGCCATTCAGTGCTTCTAGTTTTATAATGGTGGTCTAACATTGATCGACAAAGGGTTTCAAAAATGTGTGCCTTAACAATCTTCACAACCCCGTAATGCAAATTACCATCATAATAGTCAACATCTGAATGAGTTGGAAATGAGTAAGTAGGTAAACAACATTTCTGTCGCCTTTGAGTTATTCAACTAAAACACTAAAAAAAAAACTTTTTTGATTCAGTTATTTTCAATGAAAAGCCTAAAATCTGCCATGATCTACCTTCACATTCATTGTTCAAATGTTATTTCTAAAAGAACAAAGAATTTGAAGATTGATGTTTATTCACATTTAAGATTTTTCACTTGATGTACGGTCCGTGAATGTTTAATACAAAACGATTGATACCGCTAAACAGTCGAATGACTGTATACTCTTAAATTTAACCCGAATTTACAAGTACTTGTATGGTTTATGAAGTAGCTGGTGCAATTTCCTTCATTATAGACCGATATGAATTTACAAAAGAAACGAAGAAAATGTAAGTTAAACCTTGCGAAAGTTGTGGGATTTTTTAAAGAATTTTAAATGAACAAGTGTAGTGAAGGAGAACACAGGTGAGGTCAACCGAATTGTATTTATCGCTATTTACAGAGTTAATTGGTAAAATAGGAAAATCATATCGTAAATCGTTAATTTGCGAAATATCAGTCCATCATATCGAACTGGACTTTTCCTGTTGCAAAACATCAATCGATTGTCTGACATTTCACTGTTCATGCGTTTCATACAAATCCCATTGTGTTCCCGCTCTTCCTTTCTTGATCTTCTACCATCTTCTGCTTCTAGACATTACGTTTTTACTCACGTCATATACTACTTATAAGTAGCGCGCACCACAATAGTATTGACAATATTAACTGGTCAATAAACTACTGAGCAGCTGATCTTCCTTTTTAATGCAGTTATGAAAGTTGTCTGTGGTCATAGTGTTCTTAACAATCACAAATTTATGTAAACTTTCAATGCCACGATGTATGAATAACCGTATCCCTATAAATGATTTGAAGCTTAACTTATAGAGGAAAAAATTGTCTAGTTGTGAACTGCCAATTTTTATACCAATGAGCTGGTCTTATATCGCATGAAATAAGCCTACCAAATCAATTTTAAATTCAATTTTATTTAACAAACAGATATAGTTGTTAATAAATTATATTTCCAATGTAATTTTAGCGTAAGTTTTATTTAGTTTACGGAAAATTTTTTTTATGCATAAATTAGTTATAAAATACTACTTAGAAGATTCATAAAAACATTTATTTATTCACTGTCGGATAGCTTAATGATAAGTTATACTTTAAATAAATGAAAAATTATAAATATATACATATGAATTAATGTAATTTAAATATTCATGTACGTTAGTACATATCAACATGACAGCTTACATTGTTCTTGCTTGAATCGATTTCACATTCAGAATAAATATTATTGGTTAATTTTAAAACTGGTTCAGAGTTCGGTCTAGTCGGCCAATCACCAATAAGAGATTTGACTGAAATACCTGTCTGATTTGATTTTGTACATTTTCTGTAAATTAATATTAGTAATAATAATAATAATAACAACAATAATGATAGTGTACAAATGAAATTACACCAAAAACATTGCTAAATATTTAATCAGTTAATTAGTAATATCAAGTGGGTTTTTTTTTACTTATTCAGCAATTCGAAAAAAAAATTTTTTTTTGAACAACAAACAGTATTTCATTAAAAAGTCAGTGATTTAAATATTTAAATAAATCTCGGCTTAACAATTTCATGAATGAAGTATAGAGAATTATGAAAATTAAATGATTGTATTCAGTGTTAATTAAATACTGTCTGATTATTTTGTGTGCGATTGTTGTCGCAAGCTGAATGTAGTTAACTCAACATTCATAGTTTGTTAGTGAATTAATACATTTTTTGGATTATGAGTAAAATAGATTATACCAATAGTATTAAACCATTTTAAAATTCTGCCTAATCATAAAAAAAATGAATATGACATAAAATTTAATCTGTTTTCATTGGCAAATAATTCTGTTATTAAATCTAGTAGTTGACATTTATTTAAAAATTACAGGTGAAGTATTTCACACTGTAGCTTCTGAACATTAGTTGAATTCAACCCACATTTGAAATGATGCAGTGTCTAAGGTGACCTTTATGTTGATGAATTCATGAGTAGTGGTTTCAATCACTTAACCCTTCACCTTTAACCTCTGTTACTTAATTAACTATTGTTATCATTATTACTGTTGGTATTTTTGAATACTTCTGGAAAATTTACTTCAGATAAGTATCTGTGTGCACTCGATGAATGGTATTATTAAAATGCTTAGAAAGAAAATGTTCCATTTAAAATACTTTGGTGTGAATATATATACTGTATGAATTCAGCTTTATATATTTCTCCCCAACAATGCTTTATAATATATGATATACAAGACATATGTATATATATATTACTGAAATAGTCAAAGCTAGTTAATTAAGCCCTAGTTTGAGTTCTTCTATTTTCGTCGAAATGGAAGTTGGTATGTAAAACTTTTATTGTGTTTTGGTTTGATCAGGTAAATAATTCACTCTATCTTAAGTCTAAATTTTTACAAATTATATTGAAATATTTATTTGACTAATTAAAACTGAGTAGTAATTATCACTTTTGTGGATGACAGTTTCATTTTTGATCAATTAATCAATGTTGAAAGGGTTTTCTTTGGTGCAATATCTTCACTTTAGCTGATCCTTTACAATTTAAGCATTCACAAACTTTTTTTAATCAGGTTATTTGGTCAAATGATGTTCTATATATATATATATATATATATATATATATAAATTATTAAGACAGAAGTATGAGGAAAAGTCTCACTAATATTGCTCATAAAAGATGATAATCGGTATCGTTAGATACAGATTTACTGGCTTGATAGTAACTTGGTTGCGATGAAACTTTAATGTCATAAGCTCTCGATTATGAGAAACTTTAAATTAGAGTGAACCAGCTAGCCAGCTCTCTTTGGTCTCCATTAGTTTTTCCAGTTTATTTCATCTCATAGTAAAAACACTGCTTTTGATCCTTAAAATATTTGGCTCAATAAAAAATTGAAATATTTTCTAATTCATCCAAGTTCTAAACGACGTTGTCAGGTTGCAAGCAATCATTTCAGTGAATATAGCCCCTAGACTGCCTTCTAGCAGAATGAGTCTGCAAACTTGACAGAATTGATGTTTTTATCTAATATTAACAAACCTAATGTCAAAATCGGATACAGTATCTATGTTCAAAACCAAAGGCTACACATGTGTAAGAAATTAATTCGTACTAACTGATCAGTCGATACGTGCCTACATTATAAAAATGTCAAACTGGGCTGATTTTAATTAATTAATTAATTTATTTAATGACTTTCATTTATCTTTACATTGTTATTCTTTTGTTGAAATAAATTGTTGTCTTAATTAACCAGTTGCGTAGTCATGATATCGTTCAAATTTCAGAAAAGTAATTATCCTCATTAGAAAGAACGGCCATAATCTTTCTAGATAATTATCACTCGATTAGATCATAGTTATGATGCAACTAAACTATCCAGTAACCAGTTTTTTTTATATGGTAAGTTGGTGAATGTTTTAACTTATCTTATTACCAGCTAATTTTCTTGACAAAAAATGACTCTGACAAGGGGATTTATCACGAATACACACCGACGTTCATACATCAAACATAATTGACTTCTCATCAACTGTTTCTCAATAAGTTATATAGATGTTATAGGAAACAATGAATCTTGAATATTTGATGGATTCCAATTACCAAGCTGTATCAAAGTTATGAATAATTCTCATATATTAACTTGTTGTAAAATGAATCTGTTGGGGATGTTAGATCCGCAGAACTCGCTTGATAAATGCCTTATTTTGGAGTTGACGTTGTGCGAGCATGGGCTAATCAGTCGACCTTGAGATCACATTTCCCTCTAGTGAAATCCTTGACTATGACTGACTGCTATGTATTTTAGTGAGCTATTTTCGTAACTGTTCCAAGGACGTTTCTATGATGTATAAATAAACGAGAGTTGTGCGCTTGATTGTATTGTGCTTGCTGGGTGTTTGTAGAATATACTTTCTACGCTTACAAAACCTTCTGTCTTCAGCTTGGGATTCAAGGTAGCCTACCTTGACGCTGGTTCATTGTCCCGTTTGCGTTTATCGACTAAGGTGAACTCGTAATAGTTTCAAGCGTACCTAGTGACGAACATATCGGAATCACTAATTATTTATTCATTCTTTTCTTCAAATTAATTTGTAGAGTATGTTAATTTTATTGTTTGTATTAATGATATTATTTGTAATTGAAGAAATGTAGAAATGACATCCAGCAGGAGGAAATTGTATCATAGTGTTTACATGTGGTTTCTAACTGGTCTCAAGTATGCATAAAGAGAAAATGCAAACAGATCAAATCCAGAATATTTAGCTATAGGATTGAGTTTTCTCAAACTGATGTAATTCTGTACTGCCGAAAGAATGTCAACATTAAGAGGATTTCTGTTGACTAGTTTTTGATAGTACAAGTGTATACTTCACTTAATGGTTATCAAATATGGTTGATGTACGTTTTCTTTTGAATCAGTGAATCTCTATTGATTGGAGGTAGTATGCAGAAAATTTTGGACTTCATTTTCATGTGCTGAGGAGAAGTGATATTTCGTATGAGACTTAAACAACATTACTTAATTCTGCAGTCCAAGATACTGTTCAATTACTGATTTCTACAAATGATCATTTCACTTTTAAAATTATGATTACATAGGTAACTCTTTGTTAACATAATACAACTTCATATTGACTGACTTATTCAGAAAAAAAAGGCATTCAAACAATTATGCCTTGTAGCTGATACATTTATTTTCTATCCTCATTTATAATTCAATATTAGTAGGCGGAATTAATTTTTAATGATTGATAAAGTTGACTGATCAGAAAACCAATTTAATTTTTATAGTATATAGTCATTAACACCTAGCATGTTCAGTGATGATGATGATGATGATCGTTAAATTCATTAGTGTCATGTAATATATATAAGTAAACATCATTTCTCTTTTTTTGCTCAGTAATTTTGTTGGCCAATAATTTTCCAAACGAAAAATTCAATTTACGCATCGATGGTGTCGCCATGTTGTTTAGTAATAATGGTGGAGTTATACAAACAAACAAAAAAAACACATATCATGTAGTTGCTGTGTTAATTAATTTTCGGTATAATGCAATATCATTTAGATATGGTTTATCAAACTGAACTGAAGTTCGTAATATTAAGTGATATGTCATCTTAGAGTTTGACCAACCCTTTTATCATGAAAAAATAATGGAAAAAAAGGGAGCATCAAACGATAATTTCGTCCTGGTTTGTGTTAGGTTCGTCACTAGGTATGCTTGAAACTATTACGGGTTCACCTTAGTAGATAAACGCGAACGAGATAATGAACCAGCATCCAGGTAGGTTACGCTGATCCGAAACGGCTATAGAGAAGTCTTGACAGAGCGTAGAAATTATATTCTACGAACACCCAGCAATCACAATACAATCAAGCACACAAAATCTCGTTTATTTATACATCATAGAGACGTCTTTAAGACAGTCACATAAATAGCACACTAAAATACATAGCAGTCAGTCACAGCCAAGGATTTTCCTTGTTGGAAATGTGATCTTAAGGTCGTCTGATCAGTCCATAGTCGCAAACATGAAATCCAAAATAAGGCATTTATCAAGCGAATTCTAGGGATCTAACATCCCAACCAGTTTAGGACATATTTTTAGTACACATTTGCAGCTTCTAGTAGAATAAATCTAAGGGATTTCAGTCCAAGCAGTCCACAAAATGATATTATACCGCATGAGCATGAATAAAACAGAATGACTGTTTAACCTTTTACACTTCACCGTCCTAATCTTACGGTACCGATGATACTTGCACTACTTTTGTTATTGTTAAAATACGCCGTCGATAAATTTTTAGAAGAGTTTCAAGAATCTGTCTTGAAGGTAGTTAATGTTGAGGACAACATTGTGGTTTAGTAGATAGATAGATCTCTAGAGAAGATCATACATACACTTAACAGACTAATATATAATGAATATAAACAAAATAAGAAATTGTTATGTTTATGACAATAAACTCAGTTAACAAGATATTATCTTACTGTAATTTATATTTTTCAGTATTTGTTAAATCGTCAGTAAACTGTTGATCGATTCCTAAACTGTTAGTTTGACTGCAACACCGTATAGCTAAGTAGATTTATTAAAAATGAAAGAAAAAACATAACCGCATGAGTTTTTTTTATTTTAAGCGAAAAAAAACGTGCGTTATCGAAAATAAAGGAAATAGACTGAAATTTTCAATAACTTTTTGTCGAATCATGGGTGAATTAGGTCTCTTTTATTTAAATCTAAGATAGTTCTTTTCGCTTATTGATCTAGACGTTTTGTAACATTTAAGTAGCAAGATAAAAAAACTTGCTCGTTATTATATTCATTTGAGAGGTATTATCTCAATGTCTCTTTTTAAATAAACATATTCAGCTATGTTCCTATTAATATTGGCATCCGTGTGTAAAAATATGATTCTTTGTGAGTGTTTGAATTTTTCAGTCTTTTGTTGATATATGCCTACCTGGTTTGAATGAATCATTACACAGTTCGGTGTGATTATCGATGCTAGTATAGGGTTATATTCAGCTGACAAGTCCAAAATAAAACCAACCATGAGCCCTACATTTTACTGCTAGCCACAACTGACGTGTTCTTTCAAAAAATTTAGATAAAAATATATTCAATCAGAAATATGGTGAGTCCAACTAATTTATGAGTCGAGTTAACTCCGATGAACACGCAAATCTTACTCCATTTTTCTATAATAAGGTAGTCAAAGTCAAGATATTTAGCTCATTCATTCAATTTGTTAATATGGTACACTTAGTTTATAAATAAGTCTGTGATTAAATAAATAAGAATTACGAAATCTTAGTAAATATTACTGTCAACTTTCTTTTCTCTGACTAGAAACTATTACTGATGGTTATTTGAAGTGGTTCGGATTACATCAACATCGCTCAAATAGGTATCCTTACATTTCAGTGAACTGGACAAACATTGGATGGATTTCTTTAATATAACAGCATGACTAGAATAAAAAGCTTTTTGAATCATAACATGGTTACTTAATATTTAATAAGTAGTAAGATTCAACATTCACAAATCATTTCCATTCCGTACATCCATTTAAATCGGTATGTTATAATATAGTTTATAAAAGTTAGCTAACCTCCAGGCTCATTTGCTTGCTCATCAGCGCTTCCAATTCTCGAGAGTGGGATACTGATATCACATTTGCCAGAACCAGTTGTAGAAACTGTAGGTAGATGGTTTTCATCAGAAATGTTTGTCTAAAATTTCGAAGATGAAGGATTATGTAAAATCCAGTAAATAATTTCATTTTCTTATATAAATTAAGTACTGACGACTTTATCTATAGAACAGATTAAATAATCAAATCAAAATAAATAGTGAGATTTCGTTGGAGATATACACTCATTTGCTGGTATAAATATATTTGTCAAAATAAGTGACGTATGTTTTAGAAAAGTAACTATGGCGGAACCGGATAAATATCGATATATATGCTTAGAAAGTACTCAAAAATTAGTTTTCAATCCTCTTATTCTAATGGCTTGTTGGTATTGTGATTCTTGAATACAATTCCTCATGCAGTTTTTAATGAATTTGAGAAAATTACCCAGTGTTTCTTAATTTTCAATGGCTCTTCGGTTAACGGCATTTTGCGATGAGAATAATAGAAAAATTAATTTACTTCCTTAAAATTCTCTTACTAATATGTTTATTGTGTGGTGCTACTTTAATCAAGTTTAGTAATATTGAATAATTATACATAAAAATATACTGCAGCGTATGTCAAATTCAGATTATTCAGTAGTAAACTGATGATGTGTTTCAACACATTAAATTATAGCCAAATAGATACCTCTAGAAATGATAAATTCAAATATTCATTATATGGTAAAAGAATGTCCGTTAAATTAGAAAAATAATGCATATTGAAATATTCGACTTTCATTTCTTTTCCAGATATCAACGTGAAAACTGTTCGCCATAGGTATTATGTTCATTAGGCGAAAAATTTGTAGTAAAAATAGCATGGAATCTAAAAATGATACGTATTGAAATGAAATCATACACAAAATACAAGTCACAAAACCAAGCATATTTGAATCTTTTCTTGTCTTAATCTACACTAGTGTCAATGATTGATAAAATAAACTTATCAGCTTTAAAATAACATATGATTTCGAGATAGTTGTATTCAGTAATAATTGTTTCTTTTGACTAAGAAAACTCTTTGCCCGACAAGAATGATAAGTTATAAAGTGTATTTATCACAGATTGATCTCAACTGATGTCCTGATGGTGACTGGGGGGTTCTGAATAGTCTAATAATAGAACCTGACTCTATATAAACCTTTCAGTTAATCTGTTAAATAAATTGATGAATGATTGAGATTAGGGATCATAGAACCAGTTATCATTTGATGTCTCGTAGTTAACTCACTGCTATGAATTGATATGGTTAGCGTTTTTTTTTGCCAACAGACATTTTCTTCACTTTTAATCGATGCATTGAACAAACCAAAATTTTATTTTTAAATTTCTTAGTTTTCAGATGTGATGATTTATCTTTGTTTTAAATGTAATTAATTGAGAATAATCGGCTGATTTTGCATTAATTACAGATTACATCATCATAATGGATAACGATGATAAGAGAATCATTATATATATATATATATATATATATATATATATATATATATATATATATATATATATATATATATATATATATATATATATAATTGAGAATCTTATTTTTTTTCACAACAAATTTAATCTCTCCCATTCACTTTATCCTTCCGTCTCACTGTCTCTCTCTCTCACACTCCCTTTCTGTGTGCGCCTTTATTTCTGCCTCAGATACATTTTCATCGCGTTGTTGTTCTAGACTAATTTTTTTTCTCTATCGTTGAAAAAATATTGAGTAATTACTGGTAAAGATAAATTAATTACTTTACATGAAGATTAATTTATGAAAATTGAATAGTTTTATGTCTTGTAGAGAGAATTCATCGCATTTGAACGTTGAAGAGGTAGTTTTTTCTTTTAAAAAAAAGTTGAATCAAAGGGACGAATCACATCTCCGACAAATTCATGATTCACAAATCTTTAAAAAACTTATTTTTCTTACTAATTTACACTGATAATTAATAGGTTATTAATGCAAAAGAAAAAAATTAGATAAAAAAATTCATTGAACCTTACATTGAAATAAATTAGATTAATTTCGAATAATAATAATAATAATAATAATAATATTTACAAATATTTATATGAATTAATAATAAATGTTTGAAAATGTTTGAGAATAAAAAAGAGAAAAAAAGATGAGAAAGAAAGGCGGATGAAATAATTAATGAATTTAAAAATGAAAAAAAAACTTATCAAATTAATAATGACTCACAGTTGGAATTTGATGAATGAATGAAATAAGTTTCCTGTCCGATTGATGAATATGTTCAGCTAAGAATTTAAATTCTTCTTGATTATTCATTTGTTCATTAGTATCAACTGTAATTGGAAGGCAGGAGAAACTATTCAATGATAATAAGAATAATTATGCAATTATTATTATTAAAAAAATTTACATTGATTGTCAAATAGAACTAAAGGAAAATGTGAAGCTAATTAATGAATGACCCTTAATGATGATTGGCTAAGTAGTAGTATACAGAGAATAAATAATTTGAAATTGGAAATATGAATCATTGGATTGCATTAACTCAACGGTCTAAAGTGTATGAAGTTTACATTAGACTCAAAGTTCTATGTCCGATCTGCATTTGAGCATGGTTGAAGGTTTCGATAGTATAAAAGAAAGGGCAGTTTATAGTTCCTTGGTTTTTAGCGGTACACCGACTGATGTCAGTTAGTGACGAAAACCGAGTAAAACGGAGAAAATTTTTTATATAAATCTAGAAATTGACAAATTTGTACTTCATGACGACATAATTAGATACTTACGCCTGTTACCTCCAATGGAGCATAGGCCGCCGACCAGCATTCTCTAACCTATTCTGCCATGAGCCCTCCTTTCTAGCTCTACCCGATTGTTATTTATTCTCTTCATGTCTCTCCGATTCTCGGCATAACATGTGGCTTGGCCTCCCTCTTTCCATTCGGCCTTGAGCGTTCCAAGTGAGGCTTTGCCTTGTAACGCATTTAGGTGGTTTCCTCAATGTTTATCTTATCTACTTTTGTCGCTTTCTCCAGATTTCTTCCTCACGTGAAGTCTGGTGTTTTTCTCTCTCACCGTGGATTATTGATGATGCTTGGTCAACAGGTTAGAAGTATCATGCATAGACAACTGTTAATGAACACGTGTTTCTTGTGGATGATGCCTTTAGTATTTCCCCAAGTTTCCACTTTATACAACAGAAATTTGTTGACGTTCGTATCGAGAATTGTGACTTTGGTGTTGATTGGCAGTTGTTTTGAGTTCCGGATGTTCTTCAGTTGTAGAAATTCTGCTCTCGCTAAGCTAATCCATGTTTTTGCATCATCACCAGATCTACCTTGTTTACTAATGGTGCTGCCCAATTATGTAGAAGTCTATGCATTTTTGAAAGCTTCATCAAGTGCGACTTGGTTGGTGTATGCTATGTTTTATCGGAAGATCTCGCTTTGTCTCTAGTATATGTTGAGGCCTACTGCTGCAGAGGCTGCTGCTGCATTGACTGTCTTCATCTGTATTTATTTTTGTGTATGGGAAAGAAGGGCTAGATCATTTACGAAGTCCAGATCGTTCAGCTTCATCTAAACTGTCTACTGTATTCCTTGCTTCTCCTGAGATGTTAGTGTCCGCATAATCCAGTCATTCACCGGAAGAGAAAGGGTGAGAGTAAGCAAGCTCATCTGACACGGGTCTTCACTTTAAATGAGTATGTGAGCTGCCCTCCATGCACGATTTTGCAGTTTAATCCATTGTAAGAATTCCGTAAGACGTTGTTTTCTTCTCAGGCTTACCACAGTGTCGAAGACGATTTGTTATTATTGAATCACCTCAAAAATGTGAAGATATTTATATAACAAAGAAAATTTTATGTTTATCATGATCTCCACATATTTCGATTGCAATTTGGCTTCCGCGAATGATGAACATATTACCATATAGCTGTTCATTAAGAATCTAGTTGACTATATTTATCAATTCACATTGATCTGTAATATAACACGACCCATTTATTTTCGCTGGCGGTTACTCGACATACTTTCATACACACTAAAGTCATATGTAGCATTTCACAGGTACATGTATCTCGAAGTATAAACTAATAACTAGAGTAGTATAAGAAAATTATCATAAAATCAACCAAATCTCAACAAATAAATCAATTAAATTTATTAATCATCTGGGTGTGATAAATACAGTCGTGCGTACGGAAGTAGACATACACAAGGAGAGGAACGAAAATCTACTTTTAATGTAAACAATTTTTGAAATTCCCTATTAGTGTCGTTTTTTTGTCTTTTTGATTTTCCATCCTTTTTTGGATTCATTCATTCATTTTCTTACACACTTTTACTGGTGTTGTAACAGATAAGACAAGGAGAATATGCGTAAACAAATTGCTTATAATATATATGTATATATTTATATTTATCTCATGATAAATTAAGATTATAATATTCATATTAGAAAGAATGCACAATGAGACCGATAAATTATCAGATGGATGAAAGTGAATATATCTGTATAGTAGAAATAATGTTGTTGTTGTTGTTGTCTTTCATGTCTATTTTTTCAAGTACGATTATATATATATGAATAGAAAGTAGATTAAGTTTTGCACTGTCAGTATGTCTACCTTCGGTAATTTTAGCACTTTTTTTTGCGTGTTTGTTCCTCTTTGTTCTGTTATTTTTATCTTCTCTTCCTATGTCTCTCTCTCTCTCTCTCTCCGTGTCTCCCTCACTTACTACTAGCTATAATATCCTATTAATTGTGCAAGCCTCCCAGAAAATAAATATAAAATTTTTTAATTACATCCTCTCTGTCTGTCCTGCTTTGTATCAATTCTAGTTTCTTATTAATGTAAACAAAGGGGATTTTTGTACAGTTTATCTTGGTTGTTTCTTTGCTCTCTCTCTCTCTCGTTATATTATTATGATTATTATTATTATCATATTGTGTTGGTTGTGTCCAGTTACTATCATCATTGATGCATACAAGATTATATCTATAAACAATGCGAGATAAGAGAATTAGGAAAAAAATGATGATGACGATGACGTCGCGCGGAGATCTTGATTACCACCTTTCGCATTGATTCGTTTAATTCATTTGAGAATAATAGTCATTAGAAATTGTTATGAAAAATCAAATATTCCAAAAAAAAATATTCATCTAATAAATATTATTATATTATCTAGATTTTTAGATAAGTAGTGATAAAGAAATTAGGCAAATTCCTTTTTACACACATTAACCTGATCATTAATATTCATTAATTTGAATGTTAGAAGTGAAATAGTCCATTTCAACTGCATACAAATAAATATAAATATATTTATTTTTGTGTATTTGTGCAAGTCTAAGCACAAATGCAAACACACTGATTAAGCTATGCATAAAAATACACCTTTCAAGTTTTGTGCATTGGCATATATCAAACTAGGTGATTCGCTAACAAGATAATCATTTCTGCTATCGTGAATTTGCACACACATGTATATATATATATATATATATACATAAATATTTATTTAGATAATTAATTGAATAAATATTTTTTTGAATATTATTGGTGAAATGAAAATATTTTTTTTTTAAAATAAATGATTATTTAGTAAGCTATTCAGAAAGAAAAGAGAATGAAAATGTTCATCCAGGTTAATCAATCTATTCCTGAACAAAATTAGAAATAAGTATAAACTAAACTATTCACCTCATGCAGATTCAACTCAGGATTTAAAAAAATCTTGTTTACGTGTTTCAGTTGCATTGCTAACAGTTCAAAGAATCTACTGCATAGATCATTTCGTGATATATATTTTTTAATACATGTCAGGTGATGTTGATCACATGTGAGCTTTTCATTGCTCAAGGTCAGTGTAAATTATGTAATCTATTTGTGATTAGTATGCTTGCAACGTTTCGTTGCCTTTCATAATTATCAGACACCTACAATAGAGAGCAGTGACTCCATAATAAATCACTATCTTTATAAGGACGAATAACAGTTGTGTGTGCTCGACTTCAAACTTCATTTTATGAAATTGTTTGATCTATGCTCTTGTACTGTTGAAATGAAACATTGAAATTATTCGTAGTTTTTGTATTTAAATATTGAAAATTGAACTAGTGTAACGTTCGTCTAAAAAATACACACCTGTCAGTTTTCTGCATTTATATCTTAAAAACATTTTGAATACAACTCATAGCAAAAGGTGCAAATATGATGTCAATTGAAACAAAACTTCGTGATTGATGGTTTAATACTTGAAATGTACCCATTTTCAACGTTCAGTTGTTGATGGTGACTTTCATAAACATACTTTATTGGTATTTCATTTTCTGATACTTAATGTCATTATTTTCTGTAGATGAAACTTTGGATCTTCTTGATAAGCATTTCATTCTTTATTTGTCCGCCAACAAACATGATATATATATATATATATATATATATACCCTTGATGCAAACTAGTGAAGTACATATATATAAATGTATTCAGTTTCTTTTTTATGTAAAACGGTTTCTTTCAACGTTTACACATCGCCCTATTATTATTATTATTATTATTAATAATCATAACAATAATTCCTCAATCTATATGCTTATATATTTATTTTTATTAAATTGTTATCTACGAAGGTCGACGCATAGTTCAACAGTATTTTGTTGATTAAGATAAATAATTTCACAGATAAGAGGCACTTGTTTCATTGATTGTCAATTACATGCCCAAATATACAAATATATACACTTTTCTCCCACTTGTCGTTATCCGCTCTGTTATTATTGTCATTGTCGACTTGGTTTTATTTCTGATTATTCATGCTAATGATTAGGGAAAAAATTATTTTAGTCATTTAAACTTTTCTTGACAGGTTTAGCAAACAATTGTATATATTTATATGAGAAAAAATGAAGTTTAGCATGCATTAAAAATAGTTTTAGTTTCCTTTTTATCAATTATCTACTCTTCGATTTAATAAATATATCCTCTTTTTGACCGTATATTATTTACAAAAAAAATCGCCCTCTCCTAAAATTGCTTGCGATGTACCGATGATTTCAACAGAAAGTAAACGATATGTCTGTATATATGTATAAATGATGACATGTTACGCTTTTGAAATAAACAATAACGATACTAATGACGGCTGACTGATAAAAATACAAAATGACGCTATCATTGATAATTGAACGATAATATTAAGACTGTGAATCTGTCATCAATGGTAAACTTTGAGAAAATAAAGAGATATGATGAACAAAGTTATTTTTCAGAAAAAAAGTTGGACAGAAAAGAAATAACATACAAGTAGGAAGAAGAGAAATCTG